TTTTTTTAATATACAATAACATTTTTCAGTTAAATTTTTTGAGAAATCAGAAAAAATTGTCTGGATTACGAATTAAGTCATTCACAATACAAATAAAAATATTACAAAAGAGTATTAGAAATATTTAAAAAATTACTCACACTGTTTATACTGTTTCAAAAACGCTTCTGAAATGGAAATTATCTAAAGTTGAGAGCATTATGAGAACAATATGGTATAAAAATTATTATGTTACTCAAACATTTCTGAAAATATACTGAAACGTAAAGCAAAAATATCGAGTGCATAAGTGGAACATTAAAAGAATGTTACTGAAACCAATTTTTTGAAACGTTTTATTGGAAACGTATTTTGAGGAGGACATCTTCGGTTTCTATTGGATTACCAGTACGTTGCATGGATTTTTTATGAAACGTTTCAAGAAAAATGGAAACGTTTCTGGAACATGTCAGAAACTGAAAAATGTTTAGTGGGTAGTGGCGTATTTTTTTCTTGGGAAAATGGGGCGGCACCCCCAGTAGTACGCCACTGGTTAAAAGCACAAGGTAAACGCTGTAATAAATTTCATTCAATTCCGTCAGCGCATTATGAAGATATGGTAGAAAAAAAATATTTTTTTGTAAAGTTTAACACCCTATATTTCGAATACCGAGACGCGCAGGAAAAAAGTTTATAGAGGTAACTCTACTTATTATTTTTTGGTAATGAATCTAGTCCTGCAGTTTCGATCTGTATTTAAAGTGAAATCATCCTGTATAATATCCTTGTTAGGTTTTTTGCAATACTCTTTAATAGCCCTGAAAAATGTAAAGTGCAATTTATTTTTATAATGGAGAGCAGTCTTTTTTACTGCTTTCCAATAGGTAAGTGGAGCGCTCCTGAAGTACTACTGGAGTACTTCGATTTCACTTTTTGTTTTCCAATAATAGGGAACATTTTACTCCTGAAGTGTTCTTTCTCATTCCCCGCTGAACCCTCGAGCACCAGCAATTTTTATGGACCTCTATACTCCAACGAATGGTTAGGTTAGTGGAAAGTGGAACATAATTCTTTATGGGTTAGGGAAATAATTTTTGGTTTTATGTAGGTACTTCATATTTATTAAAGGTTGCGAATTTGCAGAAGACTTTCTTGATTGCTCTTTCTTATTGATTATTACCTTTCATTGGTTTGGTTTATGTACCTACTGTTCTACCAGGTTTTATACAATACATATTATTTGGATTTTAATATCTACCATTATCTACTGTTCTACTGTTCAGTTTTTTAAGGAAATGCTGTGTGTGTGTGAAGCCGTATCGAATACAACCTTAGAGCATATACTACTGAAGGCAATGTCCCATGGCCGAGAGTGTAGCGGAGGTTTAGAGAAAGAGAGGGGTTATGAGTATATATGCTATCTCTCTCTAACAACATGCAATCGCGTGTTGCTAAAGAGAGACAGCAAATATCCTCCTGTACCTCTCTCTCTCTCTCTAAACCTCCGCTACACTCTTGGCCACTGAAACGCTTCCTCCAGTAGTACATGCTCTAAGGATACAACGTCTTCTGACTTATAACTCCTCAGAAAAGGAAAGTGTCATTAACGATGCTCCAGCAAAAGTTATAAAAATATTTCTTCCAATAAATATGTACCTACGCAAATTTTGCATGCAAAATAATATAAAACTTTCTCGTTAGATTTATTTAAAGAAATTACTTCATAAATACAAACACAAGAAATTCAGAGGTTATGTTTACATTTTATCTCTTAGACGACNTCTTCTGACTTATAACTCCTCAGAAAAGGAAAGTGTCATTAACGATGCTCCAGCAAAAGTTATAAAAATATTTCTTCCAATAAATATGTACCTACGCAAATTTTGCATGCAAAATAATATAAAACTTTCTCGTTAGATTTATTTAAAGAAATTACTTCATAAATACAAACACAAGAAATTCAGAGGTTATGTTTACATTTTATCTCTTAGACGACACTGATGTGTTCAGGAGTAGCTAAAAAAGCAGAACAAAACAAGAACAATTCAGGAGCAATTCGATGACAATTGAAAAGTAGTATTTATTGCTTGTGTCCGGTGAATGTCTGATTAGCTCAGTCATACTTATTCAAGTGCACCGCGCCGTTATTTTTGGCGTTTAACGTAGCCTTGATCATTTGGGACCTCTTTGTCCTGCTTTATCTCTGTAGGCCTGGATAGTGAAGGTGGGCCCCGTTCATCGTCTACCCCGACCACAAGCANGGCTGTCCAGGCCTACACGAGATGAGGCAGGATAAAGAGGGATAATCCCCCTCGATCCCAAATCATTGAGGCCAATTTCTAGCCATAGAATAATGGCGCGCGCGGTTCATTGAAGAGACCCGGATCCGGTGACCCGAATCCTAAAAATGACTCGTTTTACCCTTCACTAATTAGGAGAAAAGTGGTAGTGATAAACACTGCAATATTTTTATCAAATCGAACAGTGGATTTTGTACTACGAGTTACCTACTTACTAATACTATCTTTGTCAAAACGAAAGCACCTCATATTAGAAAATATTCTTTTCTTCGTGTTCTGTGGTGTATAGTTGCGTCATGTTTTTAAATTTATTAGTGTTGTTTTTTGCACATTTTTATGCAAAATAAGTAGTTATTACTTTATTTCATATGAATTTCAAAAGACTTCATTAATACAGATAACGCAGCCAATGATTAAATGGATATTCGCGAGAACGAAGAGTGCGATATCTTAGATTATATTAATTTAAAATTACTATATCTTATCGTTTTTGGCAATATTCTTTAATTATTGCTTTCAAAAAAATTTAAATTAGTTTATTTTTAATATGGAGATCAACGTAGCAAGTCGAAATGACACTGTTCAGTAGTGTTTAGTGTCACATTGCAACAATATCATACATTTCAGAACTTGTATTTTACATTTCCAAGGAGGAAAACGTACAGTACAAAGGTGTGAAAAATTAAATTAATGACAAACGGAAAGTATATATAATGTGGCGTTTATAAATTTACAGAAGAGATATGTCCCGTTTTACAACCAAACACACAAGCACAACTTTCTTACAAATAAATTTTATATCGCGTAATGCAAGACGAAAGTGTATAAGTGCAAATAACAATTTGAGCATCCACATTTTTAACTAACATGATATGCCCGGCTTTAGATAAATATTGCCACTAAAGATTTAGATTTTCGTATAATGTATGTTAAAATATTTGAAAAAGCTGTAGAAACCTTAAATCAAACATCATAATACAAAATACAATATAATACGGAGAAATTTGAATTGCAAACGTTTGATATTAAAAAATTATGACTTATTTACCCCATTAATCGACAAATCGAACAAAGTGTTCAGGAACTGAAAACAACTATACAGATATAAACAATTCAGTGGCTGCTCGTGACATTGAGAATAGGTGAAGCATATTCATTGATCGACTAAAAAGAAAAAAAAAGCGCCGCTGGCAAAAATTTTCTATTTTCAAGGTAAAACGGCTTTAAATGAATCTGGAAATTTTAAGTCTATATACTACTGTAAGATATAAGACTACAATTTTAGAAATATTAGTTTGGCTTGTGGACTTCTGCGAACATTAATGCACACCGTACATGTATCTTCCAAAGAAGCTTTGTGGTTATGACAACCTCACGTGACGTTCCCAAAACTGTTAAATCCCTTCTTATTCCACATGCCCAACTCAACACCCACAATTAAACACTTCCACGCAACCACTTATACTCCGAATATCATTCATTCTGAAACTTTCGAACATACAGGTTGTCTTTTGACTTCCCCTTTTTTCCATATCGAGAGAATAAAGCACAGGTCTCTCGCAATTTAAAAAATCCTTTTTGTTCTCAATTTTCCATCTGGAAAATGGCATTTCCAACAAAATACATACTGGATTATACATAGGAAACATTTGTACAATTATTCCGCCTCGTTGCCATGACAACCGCCATAGACTGATTTCGATCTGTGTCACTTGTGTTTACTATACGTTGGTATAGTCCGAGGTTGATGTCCGCGCTCAACAAAGGCAATGTTTTTTTAGAAGGCGTTCACTGTGCAACTATTCTGTTTATTTCTGCGTATTAAACAAACAAACACAATACATTTTCGATATAAATTATAAAATTAAAAATAATTTTAAATTGTACAACCAAACGGAAATTTTACGTGATGCGGTGCGTCACTTGCGTCTCCCGACGAGCCGCCACTGAAACAATTTAAAAGTATGCTACAAATAAATAACTAGATAACTATTAATAAATTTAGTGTCGCATGGCATCACTGGGCACATATTTTACTATAGTGTACTGAAAATAAAAAATGGGTTAAAAACATTTATTATCCTTTGTTAAAATTTACAACAAATAACAGTTATATAAATATATTTAGGCTAATTTATGTAACATTCAATACTATTGAGTGAATATTGTACATATACTCTTCATATATATCTTAAACATCAAAATATGAAACAATTATTACACGGGATAAAAATATACTTGTGAAAAACATTTATTACATTATTAAGTCACTTTAAAAATACATATTCTATTGTGAATAAGTCGATAACAAAAAATATTCTTATATTTTTAGTCAGTCCACTGATTACATTCTATAAAGACTGAATATTTCTTATTTTTCGAGTTTTATTAACATCAATTGTTTCTTTGTCTGTCCAAAAAATAATCAATTTTGTCGTAACAGGTCTTAAATTTTTTATTTTAGTTATAAGAATTGCGGAACTCCAACTAGTCAGTCCTGTCGAATAAATTTTTTTTGACATGTCTTGGGAAACGTTAAACACATAATTGAACGATAAAACATTTGAAACGACTAATTGCCTAGGTGTATAATTTTATAAATTATACAAGATCGTGTACAGTTATACATTTAACTTTAAATACTTCTCGATACCAACGAAATACAATCAAACTACACAGGGTGTTTAGTCTAGATCTATAGTTTCTAATTATATTTATACATAGCAAAAATAAAAAACACCAAGACTAACATCCATTTGAAGAAGTTGTATAACAGAATTATTCTCTAAAAACGTTTATTTTCCATATTTTAGAGCCGTTTTACTCGTACTGTCCTTTTTTTTTTTGATAAATTATAAACTTTATTATATTAGACCGTTTCCTCTTTGTGCGTCCTTCGAATATTGCGATCTTACATCAAATATGACCATGTGAACGTTTTTTATGTATCTAATACACCTAATTATATAGTTGGCCAAACAGTCTCTTAGATTTGGCTGGTGTCAAAGTGCCTAGGGTACTATCAACTATCATGTACATTAATTTTCACTTACAAAATTATGTAATAATTATTATATAGGGTGTTCGGGTGTAAAATTTGGCCAAGGTGTATATAAAATTTGATATGGAAGAACGACGGCAGCAAAATTCATTTTTCATGTAATAGAAATATTGTGCAACAAATCGGATGTATTATTTTGTCAATAAAAGGTTAAGAAATGACCAAATATTTAAATTATAAGGAAGACATTGGTTGCTTCAGTCTAAAAAATAGTTTTTTTTTTAATTTCAGGGAATACATAATTATTCTGCTAAAAAATTATTAGAACACACTTTTTTAAAGCTGAATATCAAGAACACCCTATATAATTTATATTCGTTAACATACAAATAGACATTTGTGGAAGATAAGATAAAAACTGCTCAACAAACGGAATGAACCAGGATTATGTGTAATGTAACTACTTTTCAAACTGTAAGAAAAAATTAGTGTCGTTTACATTAATCGTGTAAAATAAATTAGGCCTTGGAACATTTTTGTTTTTGCTTTATAAAAACATAACAACAAAAATGTTATTTAAATCATTTACTTTATTTTATTGGGCAGTTTATAACTATTGAGCCAAACCAAAAACTTAACGACTATGTCCCATTCCTCCGAGATAAAAATCGTTAGGTTTCGGTGTACCTTGCTGTAGAAGACTATATTTTAACCTAAATTTTGCCTTAAATGGTACGGGTATTAAAAAATTAAAAAATTGACTACATATTTGTTGCTATGATTCAGTCTTAAACGGTGATAAAAGAAATTGAGGTAATACCCTGTAAAGGTACTTATTTAAATGTAATTATTGCCATATTTCAATGTTAATTCATTTATTCTCAGACTTGTCTACCGTCACGTAGAGTGGCTTGTACAAAACGATGGGCTCCCTGAAAAGAAAAAATACTAAAATATATTATACATTATATATTTTTTAAAAAAGTAGAAAGCAAGAAAATAATGATAATATATTATGATAGAAAAAATATAGTAATTGATGATTCTTTGTTTCAGATTTGCAACAGGAAACTGGAGGCATGGCACCAATGTAAAAGGAGTACTGTATAAATAGAATTTTTCTTATTTTCATTGTTTTAAATAGTAATAGTACTATTCCTGTAAATATTAATAAAGATTAATGAAGCAAATATACAAGTAAAATATTATTTTATTAATAAATTTAATTTTTCTCCTGATCGTAAAAACATCTGGATTTTCATTTATTAGGATCACAGAAAGTCACAAAGGCTTTATCCTGATGCCAAAATAATTTTAGCAAATACTTTTTGTGTATATACCAAGGGTCGGCAACTGGCGGACCGCGGAAGGTAAAATAATGGACCCAAAAATTTTTTGAAAGTATAAATTACTCAATTAAATTATTTAAAAAATAGATTTCTATTGATAATAATACGTTTGAGTGCCACCCTTATCATTTCTACTACAATTGCATGATTGATTTGAGTTCTTAATGGTTAGTAGGTAGATTAAATTTGTGAGTGCAAATTAAAATAAAAAATTACTAAGGAATGTGAGTTTTTTTTGTGGACTTCATTAAAAATTTTCAAAAATATCCGGACCCCACCTGAAATTACTTGCCGACCCCTGGTATATACAATCTAATATTTTTGGGGGTCACAGAAGGTCGAGGAGGTATTATCCTCACAAACATTTAAATTTAAGACAATACAAATTTTAACTTTTTAAATCAAATATAATATTTTCGAGACCTTGTATCAGGATCACAGGAGGTTGAAGAGGTATTATTCTCCTGGCACCAATATAATTTCAGAGAATGTAAATTTTAATTGGGTATATAATATATAATCTTTGTATGGGAATCACATAAAGTCGAGGAGGTATTATCCATACAAATATTATTTCAGACAGTAGAAATTTTAATTTGAACTAAATGTAATATTTTCGAGACTGTATCAGGATCACAGGAGATTGAAGAGGTATTATTCTCCTGGCACCAATATAATTTCAGAGAATTTTAATTTGGTATACCAAATATAATATTTCTGACACTTTGTATGGGGATCACAGAAAGTCGAGGAGGTATTGTGCTCCTGATACCAACATATTAATTTCACAAAATATAAATTCCTAATTTTGTACAATTCCAATATTTTCGAGGCTATCAGGATAACATAAAGTCAAAGAGGTATTATTTCCCTGATATGTAGTAATATAATTTCAGAGAAACCAAACCAAATTTTGTAAAGCAACTCTAATGTTTTTGACACTTTATATGGGGATCACAGAAGATCGAGGAGGTATTATTCACACAAATATTTAAATTGCAGACAATACACATTTTAATTTGAACTAAATGTAATATTTTCGAGACTTTGTATCAGGATCACAGGAGGTTGAAGAGGTATTATTCTCCTGACACCGATATAATTTCAGAGAACGTAAATTTTAATTTTGTGTACGAAATAATAAATTTTGACACTGTATGGGGATCACAGAAAGTCGAGGAGGTATTATCTACACAAATTTTTAATATCAGACAATACAAATTTTAATTTGAACTAAATGTAATATTTTCGAGACTTATCAGGATCACAGAAGGTGGAAGAGGTATTATTCTCCTGGCACCGATATAATTTCAGAGAAAGTAAATTTTAATTTTGTGTACCAAATAAATAATAAATTTTGACACTGTATGGGGATCACAGAAAGTCGAGGAGGTATTATCTACACAAATATTTAATTTCGGACAATACAAATTTTAATTTGAAATAAATCTAATAATTTCCAGACTTTGTATCAGGATCACAGGAGGTTGAAGAGGTATTATTCTCCTGGCACTGATATAATTTCAAAGAATGTAAATTTTAATTTTGTATACCAAATATAATCTTTTTTACACTTTGTATGGGGATCACAGAAATATTTAATTTCAGACAATACAAATTTTAATTTAAACTAAATGTAATATTTTCGAGACTGTATTAGGATCACAGGAGGTTGAAGAGGTATTATTTTCAACACTTTGTATGGGGATCACAGAATGTCGGGGAGGTATTATGCTCCTGATACCAATATTTTAATTTCACAGAATACAAATTCGTAATTTTGTACAATTCCGAGGCTATCGGGATCACAGAAAGTCAAAGAGGTATTATTTCCCTGATAGGTACTAATATAATTTCAGAGAAACCAAATATTAATTTTGCATACCAATCTAATGTTTTCAATACTGTATGGGGATCACAGAAGGTCGAAGAGGTATTATGCTCCTGATACCAATATTTTAATTACATAGAATACAAATTTGTGTAACGAATACAGAATGCAATTTTCTATGATCAATTCCAATATTTTCAACTGTATCAGGATCACAGAAAGTTGAAGAGGTATTATTCTCCTGACAATAATTGCAGAATTTTTATTTTGTATGCCAACTCTAATATTTTTGTCATTGTATGAGGATCGCAGAATGCTGGGGAGGTATTATGCTCCTGATAATTTATATTTTAATTCCAGAAAATATAAATTTTATTTTGTATATCAAGTTCAACATTGTGTGTATCAGGACCACAGAGGGTTAAGGAGGTATTTTGCTGCTCTTGGTAGAAAATAAATAATAGAATATAGAAAAGGAGATGTTTGAAATAAATTCCTAATAATTAGATTTGCAGATATTTGTAATTTTAATGGTTGGTATTATGAGCACAGAACGTAAAGAATGTTTGAATAAAATTTTGCTATACAGAGATCAGACTCAATTTTAAACCAATTTGCACATTTTTGTGAACATTATATCATCAGGATCACAGAAAGTCAAGAAGGTATTTTGTTGCTCCTGCTAGAACGGACTTAGAAATTATATTATATATATATTTATTTTTACAGCTCTGCACACTATTAAAAAATGTAACTTTGAAATTTAGCATTAGGAGCATATAAGAGTGGTTGAATTAAATTTGGTTATGTTACTTCTGAGGGGTTATATTTCATACACAAATAGCAAAAAGCCAAGATCACTTTTTTAAATTACTTTTAATAATTTGTAGTAGTACAAAATTCAAATTTTTAGATTTTGAATTAGGAAACTCCAATCGTATTGGGGACGAACTACAAATTATTGTCTATAAGGCAGGGTAATTTGCTCTTGCACGACAGGAAACATGATTTGCATTCTACGTGCCTTACCTCAAATGATGTTCGTTGCCATCGTACACCTGTCCTAGAAGAAATTCAGGTGCCAAGTACATGCCTCCTTCCACAACTGGACAAGCGTGCTCTAAAACATAATTATAAGTAGAATTATAATTAGAATTTAGTCAAACACGCACCATATTTCACAGCTGGCGTATTATTCGAATTTGGTATTCTGAATGGCACAGTACCTATCGTTATAGGGCAGCTTACAGCAAGAATGTCGTAATCTTTGTCTGTATCTAAATAAACCTAAAAACAATAGCATATTATTTAACCAACAGTTATAACAGTTGTCACTCATTAGGGCAGCTTATGCCTTGAATAATATGGTCATAAACCAAAAGCATTATAATTTGGGAGTAGAATGTTATACTTTTCCATAATTATCATATTTCAAAACGTTTTAAAAATATGTTTTTAATAGTAACGAGATATAACCTACAAAGCATATGTCATGTGTCAAATTTCTAAATGTCATTGATTGCCACTTTGTCTACTGCCATATTTACCTACTGACAAAGTGACAACTAATCTATAGATGCTTTGAACACATGCCTGGTACGCGCTATGTGGAATAAACTTTTAATTAGAGCCGATACTTTCAGTACAGATTAAATACACCGTTAACTAATCGGTCTACAAATTAATCCCAGTAAACTAACTGAAGTTTTGTAGTATCCCGTTTCAAATATTTAAGAAATCCCGCGGGATTTACTTATTTGAATAAGATGAAATCTGGAGTAATATCTTCTTCTTCTTCTTTTTGGCCTTCACACAGGGGTATTTAGCCAGCTTCTTATGTATTTGTTTTTTATTCAAGGGAATGCACCGTGAAGTGCATCTGAGATTGGCTACTTATATTCCCTCGATTAGTAATGGGTTCAGTGTTCTTAGTTCTTACTTCTTATCTTAGGCTTATGGTTAGTTAGCAATTGAGAAGAAGAAGAAGAAAAAGGTTATGTATTAGGTTATTAGCAAAAAATATTCATTCAAATCAAACATTCTTGTCAAGTTTTATGCCTTTATGGAAAAATAAAGTGCCTTTCTGAAACAACCACCCAGATAGAGCTCCCTACAGTTTAAAGGATATTAGGTACTTTATGATACAGTAGTTTTAAACGCTAGGTTAGATAAATTTGCAATTTTTATGTTGGTTATACCAAAGAGAATAAACTAATCTGTACTTCACCCGATATGCTTATTTCGTTTTCTTCTTCTTTTTGACATATCATATGATGCAAATTTTGAACGGAAATTAATCAAAGACGTACGACGTACATAAATTTTTAATTTTATGATGCATGCATGTCGTGTGTCATACATTTCTTGTCAAATCTGATTTATTATTGCTTTTGCTTTGTGATATATGTATTCAAAGATCTTAAGATATAATGGGTAGCAAGAAAAAAGTGGAACAAATTTTACTGAGCATGATATCGTTATCCTAATGAATTATTGGCAACAGAACTAAAAATAATTGAAATCAAAAACACTGGTGGGGCAACTCTGAGGAAAAAGAATAGTGGATGGAAGAATAAGCTGGTTAATAGCATCAATTTCATTATACCTACAATTGAAATAAAATGACGTAGAAAACCACTACTCCACTGGCTATATGCTCTAACTGGCATTGAATCACACCCCAAATAGTTCATAGCTAAAATTATTCATGAGCAGAGTCACCAGCCCGTGGAGTAGTTGTTTCCCAAACTGACTGTTGCAATTTGAAAATTTAAATTTAAAATTCGCGCTCAAGCATTAGGGAAATTTAAAGTTAGTTGTTGGTAATTAAAGATGACAGAGACAGATAATGTTAATTTAAAGAAAGCAAAATAACAAGTTAGAAAATAAAACGTATCTTTAGACACCTTTAGAAGTGTATTTTGTTAAAGGAAATAAAGTCAACCTGAAATATAGTGTGATTTAAGTTTATTTTACAACATCGAAGCCCTCCTTCCAAGTTAAAAAGTTTATTCCGCCTAGAGCGCTGGTATTAGAGCATAATATTCTACATAACATATGGAGGAAGCATGCTTACGGCGAGTGTAGACGAGTGAGACAAAGAGATAGTTTGGATTGGATATCTTTTTTCTCGCGAAGGCATGTGATTGGCTACCGCAACTCGTTACTCAACGATTAAAGAGAGAAAGCGAGTACCCGAACTATCCCCCTTTCTCTCTACAGCGTCTACACTTTTTAACACAAGACGCTCACTCCATGTCACATATGCTCTAATGCGGTGGTAGTCATGCGTTGAATGCTACCTTGCAGCTACAGATTAGTAGTTCATTTTGTTCAGTAGGTACATGTGCCAGTAGACAGTAGACATAAAGTAGCAATGACATTCTTTAGAAATGTAACCACATAACACTTTATGTGTTAAGTGAATGTAACGTACAATTCAATGGCAGCCGGTGCATGTAGCCTGTGGAGTAGGTTCTCACAATATTATTACTTGTTAAAAATATTTTTGCTAGCTAAGATAATATTGCTCAACAAAAGTAAAACCGACGATGCCGAACTGACAAATGAAAGGTGACTTACCGTAAGTAAATAATATATTTGAACCAGTCTGCATATATGAACGAGGGTGGTAGGCATTGGTGGTATTATGAGACAATTTGAGCTGTCCCACTTACTTCTTGAATGGGGTTTTACATGACAACCACTGCGAAAGGAAAAGCGATGAATCAGTTACTGTCATCAGTTTTAAAGTTGCGACAACCTACCCATACTCAAATACAAGATGTTTCACATCTTTACTGACTCCGAGGACCCCTCGATCGATGAAGAATTCACAACACTGTTCCAATTTCACTCTCAATTTTACTTCTTCCTCGCCTTGATTGTCGATTGTCACCTTTAATTTTATGCTTTCCTTGCACACATATGCTGACCGCGCCACCACACATCGGAGACTTACCGTACCCTTTTTGCAGCACCAGCAGCAGGTCGATCGTCTGTTTTCCAAGACAATGGGTTTCTAAAAAATTATTTGATTCAAGGCGCTAAAATTTAAAATTTTGAAGTTTTTCAAATTTTCAAAAATCACTTCACGAAGCTACAAATTTCAGTTAATGGTATTTTTAGGATGGGGATTTCAGAAATAGTATTCATGCTACTAGCATTAGATCTTAACTTTTTTATTCTTCACATACCGCATGTCCGACCAAAAATAATGAAAATTTTTTTACTTTTGAGTAATACATGCAGTAAATGAAAATCAAACAATTTTCAGAATGTAACTAGAATCAAAACCATTTTAAATCATGCTTAATGATTTTTATCGCGAACACTTGCCTCTATATATTTTTTAATTACAAAAAAAAAACAACTACACTCCACGGTTGAAATTATAGAGAGTAATTTATCGCTAGCTTTTGGACTAGTAAGGGGGATGAAGTGTGCCGGGAACGAAAATCCATTGGCGTGTCTGCGTAAAAGTCAACAAGATATAGAAAATAATGAAAAAAGATAATAAAACATAACATATAATATTTTTTACGGTTTACTATAACAGGCACTTTGATCCATTTTAATTATTACAGCATTTTAAAACGTCCCAATTGTGTTTTTTTAATTTATAAATTTATTATAGCCATGGAATTAGACCCCTCGTCTACGCTTATGCTATGACGTTTCTCAGGACGAGTTAATCAAGTCCGTTTACACCCACTAAAAAAGCATTTCCCTATTCCCAACCAAGTGCAAAAGACAGAGATAGAATATAGATCGACGTTCAGTGTAACTCGGTCTCTAGACGATTATAGATTCTATCGATGAACCATATAAAAATCATTTTATATTTTATACGCATTATGGTAATAGTGTTTTTATATTATGTCTTAGTCACTCTTTATAATTTCGACAGCGGAGTATAGAATCTACTAAAAAATTGTTGAAAAATTAAAAAAAGTCACGAATACAATTTTTTCATAAATTTGTCAATATTGACAATTCAAGCTCAAATTTTTTTTGACTATAATCTCTAGACGATTATAGATTCTATCGATATGCGTAGCGAGCGGCACAAAGATAAATAATATTGAACCGTATAAAAATCATTTTATATTTTATACGCATTATGGTAATAGTTTTTTTTTTATTATGTCTTAGTCACTCTTTATAATTTCGACCGCGGAGTATAGAATCTACTAAAAAATTGTTGAAAAATTAAAAAAAGTCATATGTTTACAATTTTTTCATAAATTTGTCAACATTGACAATTCAATCTCAAATTTTTTTTGACTATAATCTCTAGACCAAGGGTCGGCAACTGGCGGACCGTGGTCCAGGTCCGGACCGCGGAAGGTAAAATATTGGACCGCCAAAAATTTTTTGAAAGTATAAATTACTCAAATAAATTATTTAAAAAATGTTTTTTACGTTTAAGTGCCAATCTTATAATTTTCTCTAGTATTTTACAATTGTGAGGGTATGAGTTCTTAATGGTTAGTAAGCAGATTAAATTTGAGTCCAAATTAAAGTAAAAAAATAAGAAATATTATTTTTTTGCTGGACCTCGTTAAAAATTTTCAGAAGTGTCCGGACCCCACCTAAAATTACTTGCCGACCCCTGCTCTAGACGATTATAGATTCTATCGATATACGTAGCGAGCGGCACAAAGATAAATAATATTAAACTGTATAAAAATCATTTTATATTTTATACGTATTATGGTAATAGTGTTTTTATATTATGTCTTAGTCACTCTTTATAATTTCGACCGCAGAGTATAGAATCTACTAAAAAATTATTGAAAAATTAGAAAAGTCATATGTTTACAATTTTTTCATAAATTTGTCAACATTGACAATTCAAGCTCAAATTTTTTTTGACTATAAAATTGTTATAATAGCAAGTTTAGCAATACATTTTTTAAAAACACGACTAATAAAGTTTTCTGCTCAGTTGGTGCAATAACATTTTTTTTTCAAATGACACCATGTAGAGACCATCAAGCTGTGTCCATTCTTAATAAAACACCCTGTATAAAATAGAAACAGTAATATAGTGACATTGTTCTAAACTTACCAGGTACTGTTCCTCCATACAATCGATGTGGGGTCCAATAACCGTGAAATACTTTATTCCTTGAGGAGGACTTGCGTAAGGTATATCAATGGTTACTTTGAAAAAGTATCGTATGTAACATTGTCTACTCTCGAACGAACATGGCAAACTTGACTCTGGTAGGCAAAATCTAAAAAAATTTAGTGCGAATCAATTTTTTAACGATGAATGAAAATTATGCGATTCGGACTCACCTAAAAGGAAACTTATGGATGCCTCTTGGAAGAATGGGTATTGTTGTTTCCACATTTTTCTCACCCCATATTATCTGTCTTTCGTCGACAAAGAATTGGTCATCTTTAACCTTGAATAAACAAACGGCAAACACAAAGTAAAACTTCGATCATCTATAATGTATACTCTTTAATATTATTAAACGTGATTAATTATTATTTTTTTTGTGACATATTATCGAAACGAGCATTTTAATAAACGATGACTGTCGAGAATTTAAATTAAAATTCAGTTAAACATGAATAAATTTGAATATGTTGGCATAAATTGCAAATATTTAATAACATTATTGATTTTTCGTTTGATTATTTCAGACAATTAAAGCTAACAGACGGAGTTTAAGAAATTCATAATCGATTAATACAATGATAAAAATAAAACAAATTCTTACAGTTCTGCGGTCTCCAGATAGCAAAACCTTCCACTCGGCGTGTGCTTTTCCTCTCAGTATAACTCGTATTGCTTGAAATAGGAATTAACGTCAAACCTAAATTAGGAAGTTTAAAAAAAAATGCTTACTGCGTAGCTTAAAATTCTCGATTGTATCCAAAATAACGCTTCCCGAGATGGTCTCACCAGCATAATAATACTCTTTTTCCAACTGTATGTCGAATTCCCTGATATAATCCATCTTATAATTGCCTAACCAGTTTAATTCTTAGGAAATTAATATCTTGTATAAAAAATAGCTCATATAAAAATTTGGCCTGTAAGGGAATATTGTAAATTGATCAGCATACCAAAAAGCTTTACAAAATACTTATTTATCACTTTATCTGCTGGGATGATTGCTGATTATGAATTTGTAATAGTCAGCTGTTTTGAAAGTAAGATCAATACTACCGGACATGCCCAGAAGCTTTTGTTTTAGTCGTCTTTTTATCACCTCATATCGAATGGGAAGGGTTTGTGAATGAATAAACATGACCCAATTATTTGTACCCGTCCAAATATGAATGAATTAATAACTGTGACGCAAATTTAAAAATCATTAACAAGAAAAATATTTTGGGTTCAAAATACCATACCCACAATTGACTTTGTAAAAAATTTATTATAAAATCACATAACTGGTAATACAAAGAAAAAAAGATAAAAACTACACGAATAAAACATGAATACAAACTACAGTTAAAATATATAAAAACTAGATGCAATAATACAAAACGTATAAAGATGAAAGCAAATTTATTTTTAAAAACTTTAAGTACGATTTAAAATATTGCAACATGTCGTAACGTAGATCATTTAAGAATTTAAGTTAATGGATGTCATCCGCAGAACACGTCAATTTAATGAAAGTATCACAATTTTATTTAATGCTGGCTGTTATGCCATTGTTGCGTTTACGTTCCACTTTTCTTTGTGTTGATCGAGTCCAAAGGCAGTGTCGTAGTTACCCTTGGTGATGAATAGCCTCTTGAAGTGTGGGGTACAATAGAGAAGTCCCTGGTTGTACGAGTAGGAGTCCATCCTACATATAAGACGGTAAGAAAACAAACTTTCTTTCTTTCGAAGAAAGGCAAACTATGTACAAAGTGGCACCTATTTTATTCCAATCCTCTAAATAATATTGCGCTCTTATTTAATTTTGAAGGCACATCTTAATAGCGGGCAAACTTTTATAACGGTTTCTGTCACAAATTAATTTAAGAAATCCTAGATATGTCTTGAAATACTTTATTTTTGAGATACAGAGTGTGCAAAATGATAATATGTGGTTTTATTTCCACTTACAAAAAAACAGTTGAGGAAAACCAAATAATAATTCATTTAATTCATGGATAATTATCATCGTTAATTAAAAAATCACTTGTAATGACATTGTTAGCAATAACTTCACATACATTTTCCTATTTATCTTGAAAACAGAGCTGTGTTGCCTCTGTAGACAATAAAAAAACTAGAGATGATATCAAAAATCAGTTGAAATATTTTCTAGTAATTGGAAATCTTTATTTTTTTAATTTTTAATATCCGATATCTTAAAAAAAAGTGTTTCCAGACATAGGTGGATTTATTTTTAGATCAGGGCGGATCTGTCGAAATATCCCAGTTCTTGGATGTAATAATAATAATAATAATAAAGGGGCAAACAAATTTTGTCTGGGTTACCTTCAATACAACTCACATAATAAAAGTGTAGATCCCTAGATCTGGGCGAGGTCCGGAACATTTTCAAAATTGCAAGAATGTTTAAAAAATTTTTAAAAATACCTATTCTACCTGAGTATTTTACTTATATCTTAAACCTATGCATTTTGGAAGAATATTGAGGAGAGAAAAAGTTTTAGAATTGAATTTTGCACAATATACTGTAAGTTAAAAATGTTTAAATTTATTGCCGTTGTTGCAAAATAACAATAATTGATGAAAAAAAGGCAAAAAAATTAAGTTTTTTGGATAATTTTATTAAAATGTTTTAATTGCTCCGAAGGGATTCTAATTTTGGTGAAAAGAACTTTATAGTTTAATAAAACAACACACCAAACTTCGTTAAATTTGTTCGATAGTTTTCGGAAAATAATTTTAGGAAAAATTTTCGAATTTTCAAAATTTTGCACAGCCTCAAATAAAGCATCTAGATACTTGAAAATTTTTTCACATAGAAAAGACCGCTCAACCTTTCAAGTGGTTTTTGAAATATTTAAATCAGTTGATTAGGGCGGCCACAGTAAATTTTTAAAGTTATCGGCAACATAGATAAAGCTGTTGCTTGCACACGCAAAAAGTGACTGAACATATGAAAAGTGGGGGATGGGGGCTTTCCGAGTACTTTAAAATTATAATTTAAAAAAAACTAAATTGCAAATTGACAAATGTAATCTAATTGTTTAAAAATAAAAAAAGGGTGTTAACTTTAAAAATTTACTGTAGCAGTCCTAATTAACCGATCTCAATTTTTCAAAAACCATTTGAAAGGTGTTTTCTATGTGAAAAAATTTGTATCTAATTGTGTATCTAAATTCTTTATTTGAGACTGCAAAATTTTGAAAATTAGAAATTTTTTTCTAAATTAAATAAAAATTATTTTGCGAAAACTATCGAACCTATTTTAATGAAATTTGGTGTGTTGTTTTTTTTATACTATAAAGTTTTTTTACCAAAATTAGAATGCCCTCGGAGTAATTAGAATATTTTAAAAAAATTATCCAAAAATATTATTATTTTGCCTTTTTTTCATCAATTATTGCTATTTTGCAACAACGGAAATAAATTTAAACATTTTTAACTTACAGTATATGTGCAAAATTCAATTCTAACACTTTTTTCCTCTTCAATATTCTACTAAAATATGTAGGTTCCAAGATATAATTAAAAAACTAGGATAATATAGGTATTTTTTAAAAAATTTTAAACATTTTTGCAATATTGAAAACGTTCTGGACCTCGCCCAGATCTAGGGATCTACACTTTTATTATGTGAGTTGTACTGAAGGTCCAGAAATCTAGAAAAAATGTGTTTGCCCCGTCTCACATCCACCTCAAAACAGATCCGCTCTGATCCATTTGGAGACTTAGAATCCATTCAAATTCAGCTGCACATTTTAGTTACACCCTGTATTTAGACAAAATTATAAACCTCTAAAAATTACAGAGGCTGACTAAATGTGACTGACCTACTAAACCACAAACCAGAGTATATTTGCTGAACCTGACCGAGAATGGGGTGTCTGCCATCTTTTTAGATATTACAATTAAATAAAGTGGCATAAAATAACTCGTATTATTTTTATTTTAACTTGTAATTTTTAAAAAATGATGCCTTAATCGTGCCATCTGTTAATAGAAAGCTAAACTAAAATCTCATACCACTATTCTTCCCCTTTTATTTAATAACAGAGAGACAAAGATGAGTTACTTAAATAAGAAACTTTCTGTATTAACATGCTCATAGTCTAGTATGTCGTAAGCTAATAAAGTGGCATGTGATTGGAATAAAAATTTTTAAAATCTAATAAAAATTTATACAAAGAGTTATTAACTAGATTGCTTGTACAGTTTGATTCACACTACATATTTTTTTTTAAGCAAGCGCCCCACTGCTCCATTACATCAAGTTTTATAGACATCCTAACCTAAAAGTGCGAAAACCAGTTTTTCGTTGTGTTGTAGTTATGTTACATCACAAGGTAATTTTTCTCTACAAAACTCGTTTTGGCATCTGAAGGTACTACTCTTCTAAATCTGTTTTGAATTGTTTGAAAATCTCTTTTTCCTTCGGAAAAATTATTTGTTGAATGTTATTGGTTCGGAGTATCTGTCGATATTCGGAAATTGAGGAGCATCAGGTGAAGACAAAAAGAGATAAGAATCAACACATAAATTCCCATTGGCATTTCAGGTTTTTGGGATCGCTGACTACATACCTATGAATCTGAATTCAGAATTACAAAATTCAAAATGACAGGTTTTTTTTATTCCATCCGCCATTCTGCATTTTGCTATTCTCACATCAGATCCGTAATCAGTGACCCCAAAACCCTGAGGACCAGTGCGAATTTAGGAGTTTGGAATTTGATTTATTTTTCTCTTTTTATTTTGAGTCTTCATCTGATGCTGCTCAATTTCCAAATATCATTAAACCAATCAATTTCAACAGAAGATTTCAGAGATAAAAAAGATATTCAAACGGTTCAAAAGTGATTTTGCCCGTCGAGATTTGCAGAAAAAATTACCTCGTAATATAATATAATTTCAAATATTTAACTTTTAGGTTTGGATATCTCGAAAAGCTGATGCTATGAAGCAATTCTGAATTGATTTCAGTGTGTCAAAAACCTTCGGAAAAGTACCTTTAGTCAGATTTCTGGTTTAAAATTTTATCGGTCTGCATTATTTCAGAAATATCAAAACATTACCATACCATGCAAATTAAGATGTGACTTCCATAATTAAAAATCGTTACTCTATCGTTAAATGCGGCAATATTTACAGGATGAAATTAATTTTGACAAAACTAAAAAACAGAGTATACCACTTAACATTCCCGTTTTGCTTTAGAAACCTAAAGATATATTTTATATTGGTGCTAACCGCAGGCAGTCAACTCTTTAACTTGGTAAAAATATTTCTTTATCCTCATTCATACTCCTAGGTGGCATTATTGTGTAAAGAAATTTTTGGAATCAGAAAACTATTTTGCATGTCATCTACAAGTATGAAAATAGTATTTTTTATGGCAAAACAAATCAAACGAAAGTCGTAACATCCTTGATGTCTCTAATCTGCTTCATTGCCCTATTGCAGTGATTCTAAACCAGTGGCAGCACACTAAAGAACTTCTGATAAATGTTAATATCCATTGAGGTGTGTTTCAATTTCCGTACCATTTTTAAATGTGTTTTAATAATACACCTTAAAATAAGTGACATTATATCTACCATTATGAGAGCAGTTTCCCAAGAAATGTAACAATTCACAAAATATTTAGAAAAAAACTGCACTGTATGGACTAAGAAAGGCAATTAAGTTATTTTAGTTTTAAAATAACCTTCTGGCAAAAAGCGTTGTATTATACCTACTAGCAGAGAGCAACCTACTAATCTGTAGGTATTATAAAAGCAAGCCAATTTCACACTAGATGAAATAAAGTTTTTACCTAATAACATCATAAGAAATAACTATTATGCCTATTAAAGCTCCTTCTAGACAACAATTTTAGCTGTTATCTAGATATTGTCGATTTAATTCGATGGTAACGAAGCTGTATTCCATAAAGTAGTTATTTCCTACAATATCGTTAGTTAAAATAAACAACTGCTATTGAAATACGGGTATTTTCTTAAACCATAGCATTGTCAAAATTAAATATCAAATTTTGACGTTTGCAGTTTGATCATTTATGTTTTCAAATAATAACAAAGAAGTCGCTACAATAAAAGTTTGTTATAGCAAGAAAATAAAGAATTGTAGAATCCTTTATACAGTGATTCACAACTTATCCAAAAAAATTTGGGAATAGATGCGGCAAGAGAAATGGAGTCAATATCGTAAACAAAATTTTTGTAAAATCCTTATAGATTCCCAGAAAGAAATTATTGAAGTTGTAGCATCATTCGTAATACTAATTGCCATAGTGTTTACAGTAGTTTTTTAGTAGTTAGTGTCAAAAATGGTTTGAGTGTATAGTAACTTGGAGTCGATGGATATCGTTTTAATTTATGGTGAAGTATTTGTGTTATGGTGAGACAAGACAGCATTTGTGTTAGTTCGTAGAAACTGAGTAAAACAGACCCAAATGTGTTCACGTCGGACAAAATTTTGAACAATTGTTGTAACATCAGGTATTATTTTATTATTTAAAACCACAAATTAATTTTACAAAAAAGATGCTATAAAATTCTATTTATTCTTTTCCTTGTGAAATTCTTTCAAGTTTTTGTCCGTTTTTATCACTGCCGCCGTAACGGAATTTCCAGTGCCGATGTGATCTAGACAATTAGGATTAAAAATATTTTCTTTAGTTTCTAAGACAACACGAGTAAATGTGGCACACCCTGTATATTATAATTTTTTCAAAACTGCATTAATTAACTTTATAAATAGCTCATAAAGAATCGCAGATTGTTTTTATTTATTTTACAATTTCCAAAAGCCTGCTCTTCGTAGTGGATGCCCTTGAGGAGAACCGTAACATAAATAGTAAATATCACTCTTCGCTTACCTTAAGACGCACGAGCACTCCTTACATTTAAAACAGTTCTTGTGATAGATGTGTCCGTGAACGGATATTTTCTCTAGCGGGTACACCTTTCCGTTACAACTTTGACAAGTCTCGGTTACGCAAGGAATTTCCTTTTGGAATAAAACGTGCAAATAGAGTAGATGTCGTATTACTATTTCAGGCTTTTATCGCAGTTTCGAAAGCGGTGCATGTTTGAAAATGTTGATGATCGCATTTTGTTTAGACGCCGAACACAGTAAAACTCGTGTGGACATTAAAATTTAAATTTATTCACTCAAAATAATATAAATTGGCACAAATATGAAATATTACATAATTTAACTTCTAAAAATAGTAGTATCGACTTCATAACCTAGAAGAAGACATTCAAGTGGTCGTAAAAATTCAAAATTTTTGGTTCAATCTCACAGTGGCAACAGTTAAAGGTCTAAGAATTTTTTAAAATATCCAACAATTAAAATATCAACATAAACATACAACAGATCCATAATCAAAATAGTCTATTCTATTTATTGTACAATAAAATATAATTTTGTTAAAAAACAAGCGATAATATAGAAAAACTTATTAATAAATTATTCCTCTCGAAAGTTTACGTTAAATTTTTTAAATACTTCGAAATCATAGTCTAACACATACAGGATCGCTCACTAATTCAATCGAAATGAGCTGAAAAACACACAACTTTAGAGAAAAAAAAAAGCATCGTAATTGGATTACTCGAGACGACCCTGTACATACCAATAAAAACATTAACAATGATATATACTTTTAAACCTACTCTAATATATCATGGTAGACAAAAAAGCTAGTAAAAAGGTTTTATTAGTAGTAGTGTGTGTGTGTAGACTCTTAAGACGATACATTTAAAATTAATTTTGGACGATCCCTTACAGAATTTTCTTTCACTGAAAAGAAGATAAACCTGTGTCAGAATTTTTGCTACACCTCTGTACGTTCCAAACACAACCATGCACAACTCAATGGGGACTGTTAAAATATTAGTGCAAATCAAACTAAACAAAATGCAAAAATCAACACCAACAAACATTAAAGTGGATTAAGTCTATGATTATTAATCGAAATGTAGTAGTAGAATGACGACTCACAATTGTTTTAGTGCGGAAGCGAGAGGGTATTAAGAATGATTAAAATTAAAATTTACGGCAAACCACAGCATGTTGTTCAAATGAAAGGGTACTCACCACAAATCTGTTAACTTTCACTCGAGGAGTCCTTGTTTTGTCGGAACTTGAGTCCCTCATCGATTCGAAGCGAGCTCTCAACCTGCAAAAAAAATAGTTAATACTTTCTAATTCGACTATCACTGACAAAGAAGTAGGCCCAGCCGTTAAACGCTAATCTTTTGGTGAAAATGACTTTAATCATGCTATTTCTTATTCAGGCGCATCTTTTCAAGATGCAGTGTGGTAAAGTTTAAATTTTGCATAGATTTTTATTCTATGCTCGTTTTTTTTTTTATAATTCCAATAAAAAGTATTGCTTTTGCATTTTCCGTTACGATTTGCAGATGTGTGCATAATATTGTGTGTCTGACGGGTTCCTAGATGGGGGCTGCGCCTTCTTGACGGACATCACATTTTGTCATTTTTCTCGAAAACATTGCGTTTTACGAAAAAAGTATAATGAAACAAAAAGTTTCTAAATTTAATGGCTTCCTAGTGAACAAATAATTTTTAAGAAATTTAAATATGCGACCAAATTTTTTTGGCTCCAAAGACAAGGGGCCCACGAAAAATTGTCGTAAGGGGGTTCACCGTAAAAAAACGTAGCACCATCAGATTCCACATGTCATAGAACCCCTGTGTACCAAATTTAGTGATTCTCGTACAACAGCGTTTTGAGGTATAAAAAAAGATTATTCTTAGGAGCAGACTTCAGGGGGCTGTAACTCCGAAAGAGGGGGCCACTTGGCAAAAATAAAAAATACGGGTCCCCTAAATTTGTCTTAAGAATCTGTGATCAAATTTTGTTGCATGAATTTCGGGACACCCTGTACAGAGTGTCCTGAAGTTAGAGGGCAATATTTCTACAGGGTGCTCTATATCGAAAAGTTTGCTTTTTCTTTATATAAAAGTGGGTTCAAAAATTCTTCCTAAGGAAGTTACAGCCACCTAGAGGGGCCACTCTGAAGATGGTTTTTTCTAAATAACTCCGAAACCAGTTGAGATAAATTTATGAAATTTGGTAACATGCTTAACTCTTACGTGTTCGGTCCGCTACTAAAACGAAATTTACAAATTTTCATCACATACGATCTAACACTGGAGTTTGACTGAAAAGTATGAAATTTCATAGTTTTTTTATAAAAAAAAGGTACTCTTTTCCCAGATTGGCAGAATGTTCCATTATTGTGTAACATCTGTTTAAAAATAATGTTACATGTGTTATTCACCGAGAATCGAAATTGTCAATATTTTTTATCGTCGCAGGTTTTGAATAACAAAAATGCATTTGGCGTCATTTGCATTGTTATTTACTTATTGCGAATTGTTATCAGTCGAAAATGCAACATTTTACGAATGTGCACAAATTTTCAAAATAGATTTTAGGGGACCAGCTACTTCAGTTTCCCCTTTTGTCTGAATGCAGAAGGATACTTAAACTTTCTGCAAAATGATGTAAAAGAATTATTGGATGATAAACCGTTAAACGTACGCTTAATGTTACACTATCAACAAGAAGGGGCACCACCTCACTTTACCCATAATGTCATAAATTGGTTAAACGATTATTTTCCTGGCAAACCTAAATCCCCTAGATTACTTTCTGCGGGGTAGTATGAAGGCTGTAGATTACGCTACAGAAATAAATCCTTTGGAAGAATTACAACAGAGAATTCATTTGGCTGCGAATCAAATCAGACAAAATAATTTTGAAGTTTTGAGGTCTTTGCGGGCAATTTGACTTCGAACTGAAAAATGTATTCAGCAAAATAGAAATCTTTTTGAGTATTTGCTATAAAAGTTACTAATGAGACAAAGATAAGTTTTATTAATAGTTGGGTTTTAATTTATTTTATTAGTTTATTGTTTATTATTACAATTTAATAATTTCAATTGTTTTTTATACTTTATCAAATAATAATTTACTAAAGATAATAAACTTCTGTGAACATAACAATTCGCAAAAAGTAAATAACTGAACTGTCAATGCAAATGATGCCAAACGCGTTTTTGTTCTTCACAACCCGCTATGATAGAAAATATTGAAAATTTCGATACCCGATGATTAACACATTAACATTATTTTTAAATCGATTTTACACAAAAATGGAACATTCTACCAATATGATCCAAGAGTACCATTTTTTACTAAAAAACTGAAATTTCATACTCTTCAGTCAAAAGTCCAAAAAGTCAAAGCATAAAAAAGTTAGGGTAAATTTTACCCCCTTCCCCACCAGTGTTGGAACGTATGTGATGAAAATGTGTAAATTTCGTTTTAGTAGTGGACTGAGCACGTAAGGGTATGGACATAACGGGGACGTGTGATCATATTGAGTGGGCGGATATAACGGAGCGCCGACCATCGTTCCGACCCTAGTCAGCTTAAAATCACACAATTATGATGATTTTTATTTTTCTTGTTCCATATAGGCTCCCGAACAAATACAAGACCGATTAATTTCTCCTTATCCATTATCGCGTGCACTATGGTCGAGGGTCAGGAAAATACTAAACTAGATTCTATGGTGCCAGGCTTTGGCTCAGACCTATGCGTGGAGCGAGGGGCGATGCTCCAATATGACCATCTTCGTTTATAACCATGTAGTTATTATTTTTTCTGAGCGAAGCTAGGGTACCATGCTAGGGTCGGAGCGATGGTCGGCACTCCGTTATGTTTGCCCACTAAGAGTTAAACCAGTTACCAAATTTCATAAATTTATCTCAACTTGTTTCGGAGTTATTTAGAAAAAAACATCATCAGAGTGGCCCCTTTGAGTGGTATAACTTCCTTAGGAAGAATTTTTGGACCCACGTTTATATAAAGAAAAAGTTTGACATAGAGCACCCTGTAGAAATATTATCCCCTAATTTCGGGACGTCCTGTATGCATATATTTATATGGAAAATAATGCTCCAGTACCGTCTTCTTTAGGTTGTATCATACCGTTTAAGCCTGAGAACCATGAATAAGTATGAAATGTATTTTTCAGGGTAAGTAACGGAAGTTGTAATAATCTTAGACATTCGTTTGTCAGAAATACTTGCAGCTCTTAACCCTTTCACTGCTCCAGACGTATATATATTCGCTAAAAATTTATAGGGCTCAAACTGCTCCAGACGGATTAATTCGCATGAATAGTTAAATTGGATCAGGTTGCTCAAACCGTACATATTCGCAACCATGCGTCATTAGTGACTCAGTTATTGCAATTGGTAAGGCGAATTTTTGCGGGTGAGCTTATAACGATTGTGAAAAATATTTTTATGGAAAGGGGTACTGGTAAAAATACCAAGATTGTTCATGTTTCTTTCAGTTTCTATTTAGTACATATACTATATTTTATTCAAAATAAAATCGTAAAATTTATCGTAAATCGTAATTTAACACAACATAATGTAAAACTATAAGTGGTCTAACTGCTCCAGACGTATATATATTCGCACGCGATAAACTTTCGCGCACAGCGCAGTAGCTACGTTCAGACATATTGCGCAGTGAAAGGGTTAAATATGTAAATTGAATTGTAACACTGTAGCTATCATAATTTAAGTAAATTTTATCAAAAAACGTGCCCACCAACTTTTATTTCTCACACCACCCGATCAATGAAGTTGTCACTGATGACTACAAGCTTCGCTTAAGGAGGTTTATAGGGTACGGGGGTACGTCTAAAGTCTAACGAGAGTTTCTGTAAATTCGTTAGTGACTAAAGTTGTAAGCCTTTAGCGGCGTTGCCGCTATCACGCATATGGAGGTTAAGTTAGTCAACTACAGCAGTTTCAAGGAGAATTATTATAAATTATGTATCTTACAAGTACCTAATCGATTTCTATGAGCTGTCATATGGTTCCTTAGATATCGGTTTCCTATTTATACAACTTGCTGTGGAAACTGATCGTCAATTGTTGCGCATTCTAAAAGGAAAAGACTGCATTTCTCATAAGACTGTACTAGATCGTGAAAAATTATTTTATTAATATCTCGTCTCTTAGGCATTCAAACTAGTCATAATTTTTTTTGAGGATTTTCTTCATATAATCAGCTTATATTAATTTTTTTGAATATTCAGATAAACCTCCTTAATGGGACATATACAATTACAGTGATCAGAAAATCCCGATTTTTTTTTTTATATTCTAAAACGATAGAATTGTATGTGAAGAATATTATTCTGTCAGTTTGAAAGCGAAATTCGAAAAACTCCGGAAGTTATAGCCCGTAAACGTTGTGCATGTCGGTTCGGGTTTGGAGCGCACGCTACAAGTACAAGGAAGAGCGGAGCGCACGGGTATATTCGTGGACCACGTTTGTAGAACTAACTGTTTTTAGATAAGTTTAGCTAAATAGCCGCCCGTTTGTTTACAGTTCATAGTTACCCCTTCGTCCCCAGTGACATTTGTTTGTCAAACAATTTTGATTTGATTTTGGAAAATTTTGAAAAAAACCTATTATTTTTATACAAATTCTGAAGAAATTTCGATTGAAAATTCGATTTTTATTAAATTTCAAATTTACATTTTTTCCATTTTTCTCAAAATAAGAATGTGGGTACACATGATGCAAGTGACCCATTTTTCAGTACAACATCAAGAGCGCCGCAGGACGCCGCCGGATGAACCAGCGTTCCAAGAAGGGTCTACTGGCGCCAGCAACCAGACGCGTACCTATATACCTACAACCGAATTCACACACAGAAGGCACTCTCCAGCAAACCCTCAAACCGTCAACATCACTTTTTCTATACAATCTTAGTTTTCAATAAAAATAGTTTATTTGTACCGTTGAGAGAGCGTTTTATTCTTGCTGTACAGCGAAAGCAACCCTCAAGAAAATTTTTGTATTTTGATGCAGATCGAATTTCACGGGCAGCTAAGCTGTATACCATTTTGGAAGTCACGCCGCAACCTTGCTGTGAGTCTCTACCACAGCTCAACCATGTTGACGATGAATGAATTCAAACATTATTTTTAATCTTGAATATCCTATTAAAGAACACATGCAGTCCGTTGAATGTAGAATGAATATTTATTAGTTTAAAAAATTCCTCAAAAACTCATTTTCCTCCGTCTAATTGTATAAGACCCCTTAAACGAAGTCACCATGGTTTTTTTTAAATTTTTACAAATGCTTTTTGAAAATGAATCACCTAAATGAAAACAGCATCAGGATAGTATAGTCAACTTACTTCCGTTCGGAGAAGGTCGGATGCGCAGTTCAAAGTCTTGAAGCGGAAACTTTGTTATATTCTCATAAAAAGTAATGAAGTCCACATCAAAAGCTCCAAACAAAATTTTAAATGTGCAAAGCAGAAGAAATGTAAAACAACAAATAAATACATCTTTATATAAATAATTGCGTTTTACTGCATTTAAAAGTAGTACGTAATATATCAAGTTTTATCTATTTTCGCTTTCTCTTCCGATTGTGCTTTAGTAAGTGATCTCTCTCTCTCTTTGTCTCTCTCTTTCGCGGCCCCCCTCCATTTCTCTATCTCGGCCTCTCACACCTATCTCATTTCTCTCGCACTTTTGCTCCCGTTCTCTCACTAGCCAGATAAAATAAATCGAATGTACTGTTATTATGCCCAAAAAATTTGTATTCAACAAAGGCTTGATCTACTTTTTTTGTTAATACCCTGAATAATGAAAGAAACAATGAAATATTTTAATAACTGAACAAAACTTACGATCTTGCTGTTTCTACTTGTGATTCGTCTCCATATTCCTCGACGATATTGACCGTATTCGTCTGCTCCCTCCTGATTTCTTGAGCCTCCCACTTCTCAAACTTGGCTTTCAATTGTTTGGCTCTGGCGGCTTTTTGTGCCTAAAAATAACGTTAACACATAATTACCCGACTCTTTTTTGCAAAAAAAATCCCTTACTTCAAGTAAATCCTCGGGCAGCCTCTGGTTATCGACCTGGTCTTCTTCGGATTCCTCTTCGGAACCGGATTCTTCCTCGCTGCTGCTTTCCTGTCTGACGGGTTCAGGAGGCGGGGTGAACCTCTTTAGAGGCTTGGGACCTTGAAACATTAAAAGAAAAGTTAATGATAACTTTTTTTTTGACCATTAGGGACTTACCAGCTGGTTCAGGTTCCCTGGACAGATTCTCCTCCATCTGCCTGAACTTGTTAAGCATCTTGGAAGCGGTGTGAGTGGATTTGGCGATCACCGAGTCGTCCACATACACATCGTCGGCTCTCACGACTTCCGGGTCGTGGTATATCTCGCGTTCGGGTGTTTCAGTCTAGGAAAAAAAAATCACGTTAAAATAACGATAGAGCGGGAAGAACGACAATTAAAAACGACAGGAAAATGCAAATGTTAGTGGCGTCATAATTACGTCCATCGTAATGGTGGCCCCAAAACAGTTCCTTGCGACACACCATTAAAAAAACCAAAATCTTAAGTGTTAATTTTGTGAAAAAAAAGCCAATAAGCGTTTTTTAGAATAGAAACAGATCCCTATGATGTCTCAGGAGGTGAAACGTTTGGTACGTTCATAGAATTTTTGTTAGCGAAAACTTTATTAATCATGCTTAAAGAAAATTCAAGTGTTTCACAAAGACTATCAACCTTCACTTGTGAGGGGTCTCTGGGTGGCGTTATTCTAAATTGCTTTCTCTGTTTTTCGGGCTCTTTGTATGTCTCAAAGAATTTAAAACGCTCCTGGATATCGGCAGTCTTAACCTCGACAACGTCTTCCATGACTTCGGACGATTTTACCGTATCTTCGCTGGAGGTTTTTGCCAAATACGCCTAGATGGGACACATTTTCACATATTTAAAGATGCTTGGGATTTTGCGGGGGGCTACGGACTTACCTCTCTGGCTTTCTTCACGTCTAGTTTCTGGGGTATCACAGGGGAGATCTGGGGTGGCTTCGAAGCGTTGGCGTCTAATTCTAGGAAGAGTGAGCGCGACTTCTTACTAATTTCTAAAGAAAAAAGTTACAATTCATACGACATATTTTTTAAACTCCAGTACAAACAGTACAAAACAGTTGGAACTACTCACCACTCTGGTACACTTCTTCTTCTTCCTCTCCAGTTTTCGTTTCTCTCTCGTTGAACAATTCTCCCTTCTCAAAGCGTTCCTTAAGGGATTTCGTATCACAGGACTCGATTTTCTCGGGTTTATTCAGATTCGCTGAGGACTCTGACTGTATGATAGCCTGCTGGTAGGCCTCCTTCATTTTGCCTTGCTTGCCCTAATGAAACGACACACATGTATTTTAAGTAATAATATCGCGGAAAACAACTACTCTGCTGGCTACATGCCTACCTTCAATAAATTTTAAATGATTTAGATCTATTGTCAGCAGAATCGCCAGACACAGACTGGGTTTGAACTTATCAGTCCTCATCAGTATGACGAATAATCTTGGTAGTTTGATATTGCAGGTATAATTCAATACTAGACACAGCTCGCAGAGCAGTTGTTTCCTACAATGTTAAAAACTTTACTACACTAGTCTTACTTTCATAGTACCTACAGAATATTAAGTCGTTCATTGCTAGTAGGTACAATGCTTTATGCCAGTAGGCATAAAATAACAATGACAGTTAAGACACAACATACTTTGTAGGTTATATCTCACCAACACCAAGAAATTGTGGGAAAATAAGCTTAGAATCAAATTGATGAGGAAAAGGGGGGAAAAATGGCAATTACGTTAAATTGTTTTTCTCTGTAAGGGCAAAAATGCATATGTTAAATTTATAATTTTCTTATTTAAAAAACTAAATTATCAAAACGTGTGAACCATAATTAATTTATCTTAAAAAATATATACAAGTAACTTTACGTGCTGGTCAGTTTTTTAGGTTTCAGGGATACTAATTTAAAGTAATTTTTATTGAAGTTGAATAATTAGTTCAGACATAATTAATTTTTTGAACTGCACTTAAACTCTTGTCTACACTGCCGCCGTGCAGCTCCCGAACCCTATTGTATGTGTACGTTTATCAGAGTTGCCTATTGTGACTCTTTTAAAGCAACTGTATGAAACTAACGAAGTGACAGAGAGATAGAAACTGCAATGGAAAATAACTTTGTAACAGCCTGTTTTTGTATGACTTTGCGATGTGTTACTTTAAAGTCACCAATTTTTTTGAGTGAGAATAAAGAAATGATGATAATACACCTGATGTGATATGACAATGGGGCATGTGGTGAGCAAAAACAAAGGGGGATGGAAAGAGGGGAGAGGAAAATTAAGAAATTATTTGTGTATTCTTAAAAGACTATTGGAATTATTGTTGGAGACTTACCATGAATAATCTATTCCTAATCGTCTGTATTTCCTGTTTTCGTTCCTCTCTCCTCTCGTCCCTGCCGGTCTGTTCTCCATGTTCCCACTTGTTCTTCACTTCGGACAAGTTGGTGAAATGGAAGGGTTTCTCCTTCTGCACCTTCTTGGCTCTGTACAATGTGGCGTCCTCGCCTTCCGGCACCTCCTCCTCCTCTTCTTCTTCAGAGGAGGTCTCCTCGATAGGGATGCCGTTTAATGCTTCGTCTGACACGCCTACATCCATGCCCTTAGCTTGAAATCTGGAAAATTCTTTTAGTTATTGGACCTCGGCGATCGCTGCGTCACTTACCTTGCGAGCTTGGATAAAATCGATGGGGATTTCTTGACGTTGACCGGGGTGGGTCCCCTGTCTGACTCCTGCGTTTCCGTCTGGTGGTGTTCGAATACTTGAAATCGTTCTTTGACGTTTAGACTTTGTAATTCCTCCAAACCCAAGTCAGGCTTGTCACTTGCTGGAAAAGTGAAACAAAACTGAGATATTCTTACGTGTGCAGTCACGTAGGATGTTTATTTAATTTATTAGTTTCTGATAAATAGCAATTTGCGGTCTTTTTGTCGGAATTATTTGTTGTTAAACAGCGCTTAAGATAACTGTATTAGTCTCATAAAAATTTTATTTTACACAGTAAGAAACAAATTGTTAAATATGAGTAATATCTTTGAAGTAGAAGACATATTAGATATAAAAAAATTAAGCTATGTTAAATAAACGTATTAGAGTTATTACATAAAAAAATTGAAAATGTTCACAACACACATTTTTTTTGTACCTCTGACTACGTCTGGGGGTAATTCGAGGGGCTGATTTTCACGAATTATAGGTTCTGCCTTTCTAGGCCGGGCTGAAATCATCGAACGACGTTTTAATAGCGTGTTTTGCAAATGTGACTTTCGTGTTAACATCTGTGGTTAAAAATTTATATTTCCTTAGAAATCATTACAATTTTTGGATGTCAAGAGGTAGTTTGAGATCTAAAACGTCCTAAATATTTTTAATTATTCGTATAATTTATTTATAACTAAAAAAATTTAAAATTTAATGTGCAAATATTTTGCAATATATAAATAGATAAGTACCTTGTTAATTTTTCTTTACCATATTTTCTTTTAGAAAAAACTGAAAATCTGTCACTTTTGACACAAAACAGAAACTCTAGAGTAGGTATATATAGAACAGACTATTTATTATACTACTTACTTATGAATTATTTTTTGAATAACATTAACTAAATATGTAGTTAAGGTTGAAGTCATTTAAAAAAAAATAATTATACTTACGTGGAGCTTCATCTTCTACAACTTTAGGGGCAAAAAGTGATTTGAAGTGGGGTTTACAATACAGATTTCCTTCATGGCTAGCATAAGTTTCAACTCTGAAATAATAATTCGATTATACAAGAGAAAACGAAAAAAACGTGTCCTAAAAAAATTAATGAGACCACCTCCTGAAAATGCCTCTTGGAAATTATAAAAAAAATCAATTAAACTTATTACACAACACAAAACCCTCATACTGTTCCAGTTCATTTTATTTTATTAACTTGTTCTAATAACAATTATTAAAAATAACGGTACAGCAGAAACTGGTACGATAACCCGAAAAAAAAATCAATGAAACTGGCTTCCGACCAAGGTACATAAGATACAAAAGGTGGACTCATTTGTGAAAATGGACTTCGACTCTTACGTTAGTTGCTTGCTACATTCGGTACACCTGAAGCAGTTCTTGTGCCACAGTGACTTTTCAGCTTTGATCTGTTCCATCTGGAATACTTGTTTCGCGCATGCCCTGCAATTGGTGGTGTCAATTTGTTGTGTACCCTAGAAATACACACCGAGCTCTAGATTTGTCTCCAATTGAATAACGACTTGAATAAAAATAATTATGACCATATTAAAATTAGTAACAATCGAAAGATTTGAAATTTAAAAAACCAGGTTGGAACGGAAACCTCATATCAGTATGTGAGGAAGTAAATTTAGATAAATTTGTAGCATTTAAGACCAAAATGATTTAAACACGTAACAGTTCTTTATTTATAAAATGTGGTTTTCGATTTGCCATCCTATCAACACAGCAAATCATAAAAATACCCACGGCATTTAATAACATCCGAAAACTATGTAAATCATGGCAGTGCATAATATTATTTATTTAATTTTCTAGAATTGTATCCTCTTATTGGTGCAATGCGCGACATAAATCACTACGTTAAATATTTACATGTACTCAGATTAGATAAGACCAAAGAAAATAACAATAAAACTGCGATAAAAGCAGGAATTACAATAAAAGTAACGATGTGAACTTACGTTGAATTTCTCCTGAGCCTTCTCGGAATCCGAGGATCTGACGTGAAGGACATTTTTCTTCTGGAGGGCGTCGAATTTGTTAAAACTGGATTTCTACAAATAAAACAGGGGCGATCAGACACTACAATCAATAATATAAATAAATATATTCAAGTTATGTATAATAAGCGCCCAGAGAAAATATATGTCTAGAAAAAAGTTTAAGAATTCAAATATGGAGTTTATGGTGAATTCTATTAATGTATCTTGTTTTATAGACAATTTTGAATTGAGTTTGTGCAAAGAATGAAATTTTAAAGGTATACAGGTTGTATGTACAACGTGTCAAAAAGAAAAGAGTGTCTAATTGAAAGAATATTTTCTTATATACTTAAAACCCTTGCTTTGTGAACAAATAAAAATACTGAAAGAAAATAATTTGTAAAAAGGGCCATTCACATAATTACCCCCCTTACCTGTTGTAGAATTTCCTAGGTTAGTCACATGGCCACACGTTGGGCGCCATGTCGTGGGTTTTGGTTGGTTAATTTGTTTTGATTTTGATTGGTCTAATTCCGCTGCAAGCTAGTCAAAATCCACTACCAAACGAATTAACCAACCAAAACCTACGACATGGCGCCTAACGTGTGGCCATGTCATAAACAGAACAGTTAATCTACAAAATTCCACGAAATGGCGCCCAACGTGGGACCATGACACAAACAGAACAGTTAACCCAGGAAATTCTACGACAATATAACTTATATTCCTATGGACGATAGATATAGAAAAAAGAAACTGGCACATTTGACTTTTAAGTTAATTTGAGGACGAAGGTATTGATAACGGAAACAAAGAGTTAGAAACGTAAATTGTGTAATTTGTTCTAGTTAGGAGAAACGAGATTTATAAAATCAACTCTTTGACTATCCTTTTAGTGCAAAAAACAGTGTTTGTGTTCTCGGTGTCGGAAATACCCTAACAAAAAAAAAACGAATAACATTTATAATAACTTTAAACCATGTTGGCGGCTGTAATTTTTTAGACCTCTACAGTACGAATCAGAGCTTATTTCTTGTTAAATATTGTGACAAATCAATGATTGTGGGTGCGATATAACCTACAAAGTGTGTTGTCTGACTAATGATCCTATTGACGAATTATCTTAACTGTTTAGTAGATATTGTAGCTGTAATTCAATGCTGGACAGAGCTTTAGTCAGCAGAGCAGTTGTTTCCTTCAATATCATTAGTTAAAAACAACCAATAAGTGCTTGCATAAATAAAAAATATATAAAGGAAATAATACAAACTAAGATACATAAGAACTGACTTTCAAAAGTAGAAAGAGGAAACCAAAAAAAAACTAAGTAAAAAAAAACTGTCCACCAATAAATGTCAGAGGAAATTAATAGGGAAACCATCGAAATTTAAATAAATCGAAGGAAACTGACTGTCGGCACTTTTGAAGTCAGTGTACCCACTTTTTGTGGTCTTGAATTGGTCGGTACGTCCTCTGCAGAAGTTAATTATATTACTTATAGATGGCGTAACATAAAAAAGCTCAACTGAATTGACAGATAACTGTAATTGTGAAATTGGGGTAATAAGATCGATGGCACAATATAAAAGTTTATCGACTTGATTGGTAGAAGACTTCAAAAGTCTATAAATTCCATTTAAGATCCTGATAAATGATTTACATTACTCCTTTTGGTAAATTTAATTTTAATAATATATTAACTACTTACTATCAACTTCTACGCAGAATATGGCAATTATGCCCAAGCGTACTTAAAATTATCTTCAAAATACTATCAGTTTCACTATTGACTGCTAATTTACTGGGCCTAAGTCTTTATCAGGTAGAACAGAAGAAATCATTCAAAATATAATAAACATATTATCCAAAAATGAATTTATTTAAATATCGATTAAAATGTGGTGTACTGTAAACAAAAAATAAAACAAAAAATTACAGTTTTTATGAAATTCTCGGAATTTAGTTGAATACACACACACACATTTTGTCAGCAATTGAATTTTATCAGAAGTAAATTGCATTTAAAGCAAAAATTGACGGTTTATTGACAGGTTCTGGTGACTATGCACAGAATCAATTCTGCAATCCTTGAAACGGATGCGAATATCGAAAATTATGTGAATGTTCTGCAATGATCGATACAGATACAGACTTCTATACATCCCTGCTTTAAATCCTGTACTCAAAAACACTCCTTTATTTTTGACATGTTGTTGTGAAACATCCTGTACAGTTAAACAACCTTTACATCATAAAAAAGTAACCATACTAGAACTGCTGATTATTTCCCAAGAGAAATGCAATTCGAGAAACACAATTAAGAAAAATTATAAAGAAACATCTTCAAATGATCCTCTCCTCTTCGTTACAGTATAATTACGTTACAGTATAATTACGTGCTATTCTATTAATGATAAGATTAAATTTTTTATGTTTTTTATGGTGAAAAATGAAGTCGAGGAAAGTTTTATTACTATTACTTTGGTGAAGCCTAAAGATAGATTGTTAATTGTTTTTCTTAAAAAGTCAAAACCAACTTACCACGTTGGACTGTCTAAAAGAGCGAAAACTACTAACTACAGCCTTTTTAATCCCAATGGTGTTAAACTTCTCTTTCTGTTGTTAAAATGCCATGCAAAACATGCAAAAAATTATTTAAAAAAATGTTAGTATCACCTATAATCGAAATAAATGGGAGAATCCAATGTAATACTCTCTACTAAAAAAATTTGATATGAAAAACTTTGATTAATATATCGAATGCTTACCAAAGCTCTCACAGACACATCCGAAAAGACATTTTCAATAGTCGGGTTGTTAGGACTAAGCAAGTCATCTGATAAAGACTTAGTTCGCTACAAAGCAAAAATAAAACCGTGCAAATGACTGCTATGGGGAATGGCTGTCATTAAGAAGCTCAACTTATGATTAAGACATTCGTTTCTTTAACCTCATTTTAATCAACCTTTCATTGAAAAGTTTTATGATTGAACGACGATATCTAATAACTGATAAGTTGAACTGCTTAATAATAATGAAATAAAAAATTGTTAATGGATGATGATGATATTAAAAAATATCGAAAAGGCTTAAAAAAATTATGAATACTAATAATGTGAAAAGTATATTAAAATGGAGCAAATCTTACCGCAGCTTTTTTGCTCTGCTTTTTTGGATATTTGTCGTCATCGATTTTAGTCAAGTCTCCGAAACTTCTACACTGTTACAGCCAAAAAACAAAAACAAAACAGGCCATGCAAAAAATGCAAAATAATTAAATACATAGCTAAAAATATACTCTACTCGACAAACATTATTTTCCAATGGTTCGCAAATTTTTTTGAGACTTTTAATCGCTAGAAATTAAAAATATAATTAAATTATCTAACAATTCCCTTTTGTTTATGATTTTACAGCCTATCATTATGACACATCACTGCGATACTATTCGGGTAATTTTAAAACAAAGTTCTAATTATTCACTTAATATACAAAAAACATTTCTCTGCCATAAAATTATTTGACTTTGTATTAATTTTAATTACTAAACAAATATTTTAGATAATTTATTGATGTAACGCTATCTATGTTGACTCTCACACTTAATAATGTTTTATAAGACATGGTAAGTACCTAGTTAGTTGCATTAAACAAATAACAAACTGTCGGTAAAAATTAATATTTTTAGTTAAATTAGTTTCAACGCATATGTTACTAGGAACCCTGTGGACAATAATAGTAAAAAAAAGATATCTGGTATCTTAATACCAGCTACAACTTCTATAATTATGAGTTTTTTTTTTAATCCTGAGTGTAGTATACAAATTATTTACACTACATATTAAGCACAATTTTTCACTTACTCTAAAAGAATTTACGGAGGAAATAACAGGATTAATATTACGAGGTTTGTTCGGAAAATAACCGAATTTTTTGAATTACATGCATAACCTCCTCTGTAACTATACAGAGTGTTCTGAAAAACAGTAACATAAATTCAGGGCAAGATAGAATTTAAAAAAATATTACAATTTGTTCCTATGAACCATGGCATATCTTTTTCCGTTTTCAAGTTGAAAATAATTTTTTGGTATCTAGCTTCGGTTTTATCTTCCACAAAATTCCACCGAATGAACTGAAATTTTGTTATGTGGGATTTCTGGATATGATAAATGGGATTAATCTTTTTGCCCCTTTTGTCACTTGCTGTTATGGCAAATTTTATTCTAAACAAAAAAGGTGCTCTTGTAAGAAGTGCTAAAATTTGTTCGTTTTGTAGAGAAACCAGGCATTATTCGCCAAAGTCAAGCAGCTAGTATCCCAAATTGTTGTTTTTTATATGTTTTGTATATCTATGTATGATCCAGTATGTATTTTATTGGAAACGCCATTTTCCAGATGGAAAATTGAGGACAAAAAAATTTTTTTAAATTGCGAAACCTGTGCCTTCTCTCGATGTTGAATAAAGGGCAAGTCAAGGCATTCGGAAGTTTCGGAATGAATGGTATTCGGAGTATAGGTAAGTAAGTGGTTATGTGGAAATGTTTATTTAAAAATAAAATTCTGTATGCCATGTTTAATTGTGTTTCTATTTTTTATAAAATCTAAATGAAAATCCTTCTCGCGAACGTCAGTTTTTCGGCAATATATTGCTAATGCAACTGAAAATTGGCAGATTCATTTAAAGCCGTTTAACCTTGAAAATTTTCGCGCATTTTTTTTCTCTTTTGCTAATCAATGAATCTACTTCACCTATTATCAATGTCACGAGCCGCCACTGGTGTAATGTAATGTATGAAACTAATAGTTTAAAAAAAGTTCGGTTATTTTCTGAACAGATCTCGTACATTGAAGCATTTACTGATATCGCGATATTTACATTCTACAATAAAACAGTTGTACTTTCAATATATGACAATTTAATAGAAAACTGCACTTTTTAAATTTTTATGTTTTTCTGAGGTATACCCTAAATTTTACTTTAAATTCTTAACATTTTTTTTTGGAGCAGTCACTAAATTCTTAGATCAGAAAATACATTTCCTGGTCATCTAATATCAATCTTATGACCAATCAATTAGAACATCAGATAGCATTAAAAAATAATGTTTGTTCGATAAGAAAATTCCAAAAATAACTATGCTTACCAAACTTTTAACATTAACATTATAGAAATTTTTCCCATCTACATTATCAACGTCATTCTAAAATAAAATATTAGTCTGTTAGCAAAAATATAACAAACTTGAAACTTATTAAGAATTATTCCAACGAAAAACAAAAAAAAAATAAAATAAAAGCTTACAACAGATATGTTCTCTTTCTCTTCCTTTCTGGATTTTTTGGTTTTCTTCTTTTTGATAGCTTTCTCTTCTATTCCGTCAGTTTGGAAGGTTCTCGTTTCTGTATAGTGAGTTACGGTACTCTAAATAAAATAAAAACAACAAAATAAAAATCAGGAGAAACAAATATACATAAAAACTATAAAACAAAATATTTTTCAAATGAAATATGAAAAATATGTCCCCCTTGTACAATACTGATTTGTTCCTGACTTAAAAGTGTGTTCTAGAAATAAAAGCTAATACATATCACCCATAATATGTAAATAATGGATATAAATTAGAAACAAGTTGTACTTCGAATGCCAAATAGCTATGAAATGTAAATTTAGCATTTGGAATGCGTTCAACGAAATTTAGGAAGGTAGATTTTCATTATTTTTAGAATGTACGTACTTCTCCAACCAGAAAGTTACACGCATTTTGTTGGTATAACAATCTGTGTATACTAACAAATTAATAAGCAACTTTACTGTTTATAATTAACTGCTTACTACAATTAAAAAGTGTATATCAAGCAAGTATAACTAATCTCTAATTAAACAACTATTTAATTAATTGCTGAACTAATTCAATTCCTCATCGTGAAGGTATTTAAAAACAAATATATCTACAAACTATTTCATTTTTATGTGACCGAACCTGAGATTTTAATTCTAGTTGTTAAAATAATAAAAGATGTCCTATGAGGGGACAAAAAATAGAGAGTGGAAAGTTTAACTGGAACAAATTCTGCAAATTAATAAATAAAGGTTTGTCGCAAAATTTATGAATCACACGAACTTGCATTCAGTTGCAAGCAAAGGTAATAACAGGCGAAAGCGTGTTTTATAGATGCTACACTCTAAGCTTGTCAAAACGCGCATAGAGCTTCCGCACATGCGCACACTACTAGAGCAGAGCTCGCGGTAAATTTGGTGCACACTTTATACAAAAATAATCCTAGTCCGTACTCGAAATAATTCTAACCAGATATTTTTTATAAGAAAAAATTCTACAAAGTTTTTACACATTTTTTTTTATCTATAGCAAATATCCTATCCTATGTAAAATTATTTCATAACTGGGGTTATTTTTAAATAAAGTTTGTTCGGTGCCATTTAAAATAGGGTAAACCGTACATATTGGACAGTGATAGTTATTAGACATGAACACTTCGAAGGTGCCTATTTAGTGTTTCACTTAGTTTTATTTTAAGTAAACATTGACTGTAGCACAATCTATTATTATTCTTTGAAAATAATTGTAGTCGCGGTGAAATCTGCAGTGATGGTCTGTCATGGCTGATTTCTTAAGAATTCGCTAAGACAATATTTTTCGAAGCTGTAGTGATTTAATAGAAATTATTTTACTGAAACGTGTATTTTTTATAAGGAACAGTCAATTATTTATAATAATTAGTCTATGTCCAATAACTAGGTATATCAATGGTGTTTTGAATTTTAGTTATTGGACAAGTGTCCAATAACTGTAATTTTGGCTTGGTGTAATTTATTTATCCTTTTTATTATGCATTTACTATTAACGTAGTTTTAGTAGACACTTCCTAAGTTTATTTTTTCCGACAATTGCTTATAAAAAGTAACAAAAAAATACGTAATTATTGTATTTGCAATTGAGAAGGCTTTAAAATAAAAAACTAATCAACCTACCCTTTCATTTAAAAAAATAGGGGGTTGCTGCAACCCCTGCACATAATTAAAAAATAAACAAACCTCTTTGTAACATGCCCAATTGAAAATAAAAATTGACGTGTTCAGGAATTTTGCGACAAACCTTTATTTATTAAGATACAGAATTTGTTCCAGTTAAACTTTCCACTCTATACAGGGTGTGCCATTTAACTAATATCTCCGAAATGAAGAGATTTATTTTAGTTCCGGAAACTGGGGTTGTTAGATCCTCGAATAGCTTCATATTGCAGTTAGAACTGTTAGTTCAAATCTTTCTGTATAGATGGCGTGGCGATACTAAAAATTTTTTGATCCCTGGAACGTGGAAATGCAGTCCATCTGAAATATCGTTAAATTTTGAGTAATTTTTGTAATATAAAGTTTTTCCCTATATTTACTTGTTTTCGAGATATGTCGACTTCAATATGCAATGTATGATATAACAGGAAAATCTATTATTTTATTTAAATCTCACCGAAACAAAATATTCTTTTAAAAAATATTTGTATAATGGCTTTATTCACACCATATACTAACAAACAATCAATTATAAAAAAAAACAAATGGTCAACTACAGAAAAAAAATTGTACAATGGCAAATCTTATAAGGGCCAGAGACGAACCGTATTTTATCAAATGTTATTAAAAAATGCAGTCATAGGTGACTCATGTCAATAAAACATGTATGACAGATGACACATTATATAGTTAAAAGATTTACTATTCTACAATTTTTTTTCTGTACTTGATCATTTGTTTTTTTATAATTTATTGTTTGTTAGTTAGTAAGTGGTGTGAATAAAGTCATTATAACAATACTTATTTTAAAAGAATATTTTGTCTCAGTATAATTTAAATAAAATAATAGATTTTCCGGTTACATCATACACTGCATATTGAAGTCGAGATATCTCGAAAACAAGTAAATATTGGGAAAAACTTTATATTACAAAAATTACTCAAAATTTAACGATCTTTCAAAAGGACATTTCCACGTTCAAAAAAAATCATCAAAATGAAAAAATCGAAAATTTTTTAATAAGGCCACGCTATCTATACAAAAAGATTTGAACTAACAGTTCCAACTACAATCTGAAGCTATTCGAGGGACCTAACAACCCCAGTTTCCGGAACTAAAATAAATCTCTTCATTTCAGAAATATTTGCAGAGCGACTGTTAAATGGCACACCCTGTATATCTCTATTCTTTTTATGTTAACAATAAAATGTAACAGACTAAAAAGTTTGGAGGTTGGGAGTTGTTGAAAATAAAGACTTTAACAATAAACAATTAATACTGTTACATAAACCATAGAAATTTGAAAGCAAAAAATTCAACCCAAACTAACTCCATGCAAAAGCGGCTGCACACAACTTACTTGAATAAAGTGACCTAACCTTTTAAGTTATACAAAATAAGCTACTCACATCATCAAGATCCATACTTGGGGAATCGCCAGACTCGAATTTGTTAATCTGCTTGATGATATTGACAGTCTTCAACTGGTTCACGTCCTCCACCTCTTTTTTGGTCGTGGCCACGACCTCTGCTCCAGTTTTAAGGAACTGACTCTTCAAATTTTTCACTATCTCAGCAGGAACGGTCTCGGTGTCCTTTTCTCTGTTGCTGATTTCGACGTTTTTGGAATTTTGTGAAACCACCTCCGTGTATTTCTCATAGTAGTTGCTTTCGCTTTTGCTGTGGTGCACGAATTCTGAATAGGATTCCGTTTGTCCTTCAGTTCTTACTTCGCTTTCTTCTCTTTTAACGGTTTCGTTGCTGGTGACTGTGCTCTCTTTAGATTCGTAGTGTTCCGTGTGGGATTCTACCAGTCTTTCTGTAGTTTCCCTAACCTCTTCATGGGGACTGTCTTCCTTTGTCTGTTGTGACTCTACCTCGTCCAAGTCGGTGACAATTTCGTCGCTTGTAACTTGAGGTTCCTCGACGGCGTCACTAACGATTTGTTCTGGTTCCATTTCCTCCCATGATGCTTCTTTGTTTTTGACCTCCTCGACGTTTTCGTAGATTTCCTCGACTTTCTTACACTCCTCGATATCCTGGTAGATGTTTTCTTCGTGTTGTTCATCTTCCACATCTTTCTTTAGGTCCTTTAAATTTTCATAGATGTTTTCTTCTTCCGCTTTTGGTTTTTCCTTCAAGTTCTCGTATATATTCTCCGAGGTCTGCTTCAAAAACTCTGCGTTTTCGTATATGTTCTCTTGGTTTTCACTTGTTTTGTCTTCCGCGATGTCATTTGTTAGTTGCTCACTTGCCGAGATCTCCCCGCTGATCTCGCTTGTGTTGTTTTCTTCGTTCGCGGCTTTATCCAAGTCGTCTTTTTCTGGGGATTCGTTGGAAGTGGATATTGTGTTGTCTGAAGCAGTGTTTTCTCTTTGGAAGCCTTTCAGGAAGTCAATGTTCTCCTCGGAAGGAGTTAGCATGGGGGAAGTGACGGTTTGGGTGAAGAGTAAGGTAGCTTCGTCTGTAGCTAGAAACATCCTGTCTTTGACTGAGGACTTGGCTTCATTCTCTGGGGACCTATTTTCCGAGAAGTCCGTCGTCTTCATGGTGAACTTTGGCTTTTCCTCTATGATTTCGTAGCTATTCTCCAGGAGGCTGCTGTCGTCGGGATCCTTGTTAACGATTTCGAACTCCTCGTACGTCGCCGTCTCGATTTCAATCGCTGGGCTTACATCTAACTTTAAATTATTCTTAGTGGCTTTGTCTGGCGAGCTCATGTCGACGTATTGGTCCGAATCAGTCTTTTCAATTTCGTGGTGTTCGGGGAGCGTTTCGTAGATGTTCTCGGGCTCGTCGTAGGTGACGTGGCCGTTCTGGCTGGGGTTGGAGCCGTTCCTTAGCGGGGCCGGCTCGTCGTAGTAGCTCTCGCGCTCGTTCTGGATGAAGTTGTTGCTGGCTACGCCGCTCTTGTGGATCGGCCTGGCGTTGGCGCCTATGTTCTCGTAGAGGGAGTTCTCCTCCTCGTGCTCGTCCGGGTTCTGGAGATTGTCCTGGAAGCGGGGTTAGCGGTTCACACGCGAAATCGGGGGTGGTTAGAGGGTAACGCACGTTTTCAAGCAAAAAAAAATAATAATAATAAGAACACAATACTGTGGTGTAATATGTATAAAGAGTAACATCTATTGCCCTTTATATCTCCGTTACTGTGAAGGGGAAGAAACTTCCATTAAATTGTTGCAATTGTTTGACATCATTTGATAACATTTAAAAAGATTTTTTTACAATTTGATTTAACTTAATATTTTTAAAATAAAGTAAAAAAATATTATGTGTTTATTGAAAAAAGTGATAGCGGGCACGCAAATGAATAATTTTTATTAAGCAAACGATTGTCTAAATGCTTCTATTTTCGAGAAAATTAACCGTCAATGTAAGCCAACCCTGTTCATATTGTGCACGTGCGTTGTGTGTTGTAGTATTACTTAGCCGGCGTATAAAATCTTTTCTGATCAAGAAGTAGCAAATATGGTGTTAATATACGGAGAATGTCAGTACAACTATGTCCACCTGACAGATCCGAGGCGTGGTACTCGCGACATTGCCCGAGAAGTGAGTGTATCTAACAGTACCGTGTGACATATACAGGGTTATTCATATAACATTTTACCTCCCTTAAATTTTTTATTTTTGGTTTAAACAAAAATAGTTAAAATAAAGGTTTTAAGGAATCTTTCTGAGTTTAACGAGTTTATGAAATTATACGATACGAAAAGATACGACGCAAACTTATGTTTTTTTAAATGGAATACCCTGAATATTATTCGATTTTCGGAATCTCTGCTTCTTCCTGATTCCAACAATACATACAGGGTGTCCCCCAGGGAAATGCGTCGATCGACATCTAGGAAAGTACTTCCGAGAAATTTAAAAATTTTGCAACATGACAATGTCCCTGGGGTGAACACAACTAAAATATCTAGAACTCTCCAGCACTTCCGGTTATACCGGAAGTCGATACCAACTTCGTTATTTTACATGGGACACACTATATATTACATATTACATTTTCGGATTCTACGTGAAATTTGAGGGTCACTTTATTAAATATTCTCTATACCTAGGAGTTATAGATTTTGAGATATTAATATTTAAAGAAAAAATTTGACAGATGCAAGGGTTCGCGGAGATGCTAGTAACTCTTTTCAGAAGCGTGTTGTCAAGTGGATTTTTGGTATACCAACAAATTAAAACATTTAATACTAGGTGTTTCGTTTTTGCTGTTACGTTTTGATAACTTCAAACAGCTATAACTTTGTTAACTTTAATGGAACACCCTGTATTTTTTTACTCTATCGTATGCAGATTGAAATTTCCTTTCTAGCCATATAAGCATTGTTAGGGTTGCCGTCACTACTTTTAGAGATATTTGTAATTTTAAATTTTTTGGACAGGTTTTCTCGTATCAGACCTGTTGTCAAATTGGCCATGACCAGAAACACTTCAAAAACAATTGAAATAACATGACATTTGTAAAGTTAGTTGTCAAATTATGGTTGTGCCTGAATAGTTTTTACCGAAAATTTAAATAAAAATGCCTGGGGATCGTTAAAGTTATAGTAATGAGGATTATTTTAATTTGTTTATTTATGAAAAATGTGAAAATAATTTCAAGAACATATAGAGAATCTGTTGCTTTTTTCCATAAATAACAAGCAAATTAAAATAATCCTTATAAGTATAATTTAAACGATCCCCAGGAAATTTTATTTAAATTTTCAACAAAAACTATAACAGACATAACAATAATTTGATAACTAAGTTGACAAATATCAAGTTATTTTAATTATTTTGGAGTGTTTCTGGTCATGGCCAATTTGACAACAGGTCAGATACGAGAAAAATTGTTAAAAAAATAGAAAATTGTAAATATCTATAAAAGTAGTAAGGCAACCCTAACAATGCTTAATGGCTTGAAAGGAAATTACAATCCGCATACGAGAGTAAAAAATACAGGGTGTTCCGTTTAAGTTAATATAGTTATAGCTGTTTGAAGTTATCAAAATGTAACAGCAAAAATGAAACACCTAGTATTAAATGTTTCAATTTGTTGGTATATCATAATTTAGCGTTACCTATGCCCTTACTGGTACCAAAAATCCGTTTGATTACAAGCATCTCTGCGGATTCTTCCATCTGTCAATTTTTTTAATTAAAAATTAATACCTTAAAATCTATAACTCCTAGGTATAGGGAATATTTAATAAAGTAACCTTCAAATTTCACGTAGAATCCGAAAATGCAATAATATATAGGGTGTCCCATTTAAAATAACGAAGTTGGTGTCGACTTCCGTTATAACTGGAAGTGCTAGAGAGTTCTAGATATTTTAGTTGTGTTCGGACATCCAAATTTTCAAATTTTCGGAGCAGTACTTTGCTAGATATTGATAGACACAGTTCCGGTGGGACATCCTGTATATGTTGTGGATTTACTTAACAATTTACGTAATATTCTGCTTTGAAAGACTGAATCGTCATAAAATTCTGCACATTTTTGACCATTTAACTATTTCTGTTCTTAAAAGAAGAAAAATACCTGTATAGGACAATTAAAAAGTTGTAACCCCGTATATATTTTTATACAGTGAGCGGCAAAAGTATGGAATATATTTATTTAAAAATCAGATGTTCGTTATTTGAAAAATCGCTCGGACTCGTCGAATTATATTTTAAGTGGTGCATTTTCTGAAGTAATTTTCATTTATACAGGGTGGCCCAAAAAAGTTATGGAATTAGATTCAACTTTTTTAAATGGAAACCACACTTTTTTGTATTTTTATTCAATTCTCCATGGAATTCTGATCATTTTTTATGTAACAACCTATACCTATCTTCAACCGTTTTCAAGATAACGGCCTTTGAATATAGAATATGGAAAATTTTCAAAAATTACTCTCGATACGTAGGGATTGTAATGTCAAATTCAGTGGGAACTGGTGTACTTTCTGCTAAATACATTTTGTGTTTTTGTATTTTATGTTTACAAAAAACATGAAACGGTGCTAAAAATTTGCAAAATAACCTGGCTCGTAATTTAAATAGTGACATTTAACAAAATCATATTTTATACAATAAATTATGCGTTTTTAATTAAATTATACCTAAATACCCCGCTTATATTTTTTACATTCGTCATTGCGTGATAATGATTAAAATAAATCACCGAACCACTTATTTCTTATCGATTTTTCTGATTTGAAGCAACTTTCTGTGAACCACACAAATCTAAGATGGAAAAGTAAACGTGGTTTTATTTTAAAACCAGCAGGGAAAAGCTCAAGACAATTTTTGAAAATTTTCCATATTTTATATTCAGAATTCCATTATCTCGAAAACGGTTAAAGATAGGTATAGTATATGTTACATAAAAAATGATCAGAATTCCATGGATAATTGAATAAAAATATAAAAAAGTGGGGTTTCCATTTAAAAAAGTTGGCCTTGATTTCATAACTCTTTTTTGGGCTACCCTGTATAAATGAAAATTTCTTCAGAAAATGCGCAACTAAAAATATAATTCGACGGGTCCGAGCGATTTTTCAAATAACGAACATCTGATTTTTAAATAAATATATTCCATACTTTTGCCGCTCACTGTATAATTTCATGATTTAACAGTTTGACAACAACGATTTTCTACTATGCTAGAGACACCAATGTCACAGCAAATAATTGTTTTATATGCTGTACCAATGTGCACAAAACGGCATCGTCTTTCGCCAGTACTGTCGGCCAAATTTAATCGCGCCCACGTTTGTTTGCGCTGCCGCTCGAACTAACAAACTCGCCGAAGGCAGTTACTTTTTTCCAGGACGCTAATTAATTCTTAAAACAACGTTTACACGCTATTTCCTGCACAGAATGAAATCTGAATAGAGTTGCGACAAAACAGAAACGAAACCCATTACCCAATTGCCTCCCGTGGCAATTCACGACTCTGTTTTTTTCCCGGACATATATAAGCGCGCACGTTTTTAGATCGCGGGAAATTTCAATTAACTGGTTTTTTAAACACTACCGATTGCTCGAATGTAAATGCCTAATGAGATCTGACTGTGGGTATTGCGTGCGTGCACTGGCATTGTTGATATTGCGTAAAATCTGTGCAAGCTATTCAAGTCGTATCTGCTATATGATCTGTGGGATACTTCATTTAATTGCAAGTAAAAGAGCAATACAGGTATAATTATGCTCTTATAGAGTCTGTCCCTAGATGTGGTACCGCACTCTCTAAACTTTTTTATTGTTGATTTTTTTCAAGAAAAACTTAATATTGATAAAAAGTTTTGCTTATCTTGGGAAACCATTTTGAGTTTTCTTGGACGTATACTGTATGTTTTATTACTGCCTATGGCTTCCCAAGATTAGCAAAATTTTTTATCAAGAATAACTTTTTCTCGAAAAATCAACAATAAAAATGTTTACAAGAGTGCGGTACCCCATCCGGGGACACACTGTATATATCTACTCACTTATGTACACCTTTATACACAAATCTTATACATGCACCTTTATACATTTCTTTGCAACGATAAATTGAAGAAATGACAGAGTTATAATGGAGAGCAATAGATGGCAGCAATGTTTTGAATCAGTTAGTCACTGAATTACTACAGAATCAGTTAAATATGCCAGGAAATATGGGTTGGACGCGACATTTTTTTTTCGGCAAGCTGAATTTATCACTATAGATGCTAAATATTATGTACAATAACATATTAGTTTCGACTGTCATAAAAATGGGTGGAAGATTGTTTACAGGGTGGTTAATTGTATAATTTTTACGTAAATTCAGGTTTTTCGCTTATAACTTTTTTCCATTCATTTCCACGAGAAAATAGTAAAGTTCTTTTTTTTTTCGTCTTCAGAAGACCTACAAAACTAGCTCTCGAGCGTCAAAAAATATTGATTAGATCAAAAGTTATAAACAGAAGAAGTTTATTTATGACTTTTGAATTAAACATATATAAACTGTATTAATATTACCAGAACGTTTTGGCATCGCATCCTCTCATTCCTTATCTCAGTCTAATAGCTCACACGAAATCTGGAATCTGTAAGTTAAACAGTTTACAAGTTATGGCCTTATAAACAAATTAACTAATTATTCTTCCAAAATCGCACTGAATTTTTTCATGGTAGATTTCATAATACATATCTATCATTTTTTTTAATTTCAAATTTGCAGCCTGGATTTTTTTTTATTTTTTAGCCCTAGTTGCAAAATAAAATGTACGACGGACGCGCGTGATTTATCTAGTTAAAAAAAAATCGTCAAGATTCGTTGAAAAACAACGGAGTTACAGACTGTCAAATATATTATTTTCAGAATTTCGCTTTTTTAACGGCAGGACTATGAATATTATCGTCATTTTCTTCGGACTCGCTGTCGTTCGCTTCCCCCGCCCACCCGCCGTGCCACGGCTCACCGAAAAATCAAGCGACCCACTGACTTTTGACAATATTTCTTATGCACTTAACATACTTCCACAAATAAAATATTTTTATTTGGGAAAGTAGGTACTCGGGTTGCCGGTTATGACAGTATTTTTTTGCCGCTACCAACCTAATTTGTTTAACAATAGGCCATCAACTTTGACAGTCTGTAACCGTTGTTTTTTCAACGAATCTGGACGATTTTTTTTAACTTAAAGCTCTTTTCATAAGCTTTCGAATATGTAATAATAAATAACTATATCATGCGCGTGCGTCGTATATTTCATTTTGCAACTAAGGCTAAAAAATAAAAAAATAATCCAGGCTGCAATTTGAAATAAAAAAAATTATAGATTTCAATGTATTGGTATGAAATCTAAAATGAAAAAAATCAGTGCGATTGTGGAAGATGCTCGGGATCGTCCAGAATAATAATTAGTTAATTTGTTTATAAGGCCATAACTTGTAGACCATTCAACTTACCGATTCCAGATTTCGTGTGAATTATTAGACAGTGATAAGGAATGAGAGGATGCGATGCCAAAACGTTCTGGTTATAATAACGCAGTTTATAAATGTTTAATTCAAAAGTCATAAATAAACTTCTTCTGTTTATAACTTTTGATCTAATCAATATTTTTTTACGCTCGAGGGCTAGTTCTGTAGGTCTTCTGAAGACGAAAAAAAAGAACTTTACTATTTTCTCGTGGAAATGAATGGAAAAGAGTTATAAGCGAAAAACCTGAATTTACGTAAAAATTATACAATTAACCACCCTGTAAACAATCTTCCCCCCATTTTTATGACTGTGGAAACTAATATGTTATTGTACATAATATTTAGCATCTATAGTGATAAATTCAGCTTGCCGAAACAAAAAGTCGCG